CAGTTCCTAGCCCTGGCACCTCCGGGCCTGGCGGCTCAGAGCTCCGGCACCTCCGGGCCTGGCGGCTCAGAGCTCCGGCACCTCCGGGCCTGCTGCATCAGTTACGAGTGTAAAAAACTTGCTTGAGCCCTGGCAACTCTTTCATTACAAATTAAGCACCGCCTCATTGGTGGGGCTTAGCTCCAGTGGCCTATCAGGACAGCCCCTCCATAGCAGACCCGGCCCAAGTTCACCACGGCTATAAGCAGGCACGACTCCACGGAAGACAGCACAGTCAGGCCCGCAGCACTGCTAGGCAATGATCCTGCGTCCCCGTAGCTCCTTCACTTCGCTGTGGAGACCCAGCCTGCTGTCGCTAGTTACACCCACCCCTCTGCGCCTGGCCGGCCTCGGTCACACTTACAATTTCTCAAGTAAAGCAGCGCCGCCATCGGCAAAGAGGCCCTTCATGAAGAGCTCGTTCATGACGTAGTCGATCCGCGGGGGGATGAACGGGATCAGCTGGGTGAAAGACGAGGTGGTTCAAAAACCAGGGGACAATACTTCATTGTGATTTCTTATATTCTGGTAGAATCCAGAGGCCCCACCTGAAATCGGCGCCCCGCTGTGCTCGGCGCTGTACGTACACTTGGTAAGAGCCAGTCCCTGCCCCAAAGGACTTGCAATCTAAAAGGTCCTAAGAGATTTAGGCAACCCAATCCTGTTGCAATGCAGCCCTTGCCCTTACAATCAAACTACACTCATTACTACAAACTAATGCGGGGAAGGAAGAGATCAGGTGATTTGCCTGGCAGAGCCAGGAATTAAACCCAGATCTCCGGAGTGTCACTGCAGTGCTTTCTTCACAAGACCATCCTACCTCCCTATAGCCAAGATCTGCAGGATAAACAGGACTCTCGCCCAACACCCATCTGCACCCGGGACTCTTCTGAGCGTGCAAGCTGCATAGTAGCCCATAATATTATCATCATTTAACTCCTGCTTAGGGTCATTTGTTGGAGACTGAGTGGCATGAACACACCAAGGAGTGTAATAACGCTCATCAGTGGTAGTGGGTTGGGGTTTTTTTTGAAGAGTTCCTGCATAATATGAATGTAAAGATACTTAGATCGGGGTAGGCAACCTATGGCACGGGTGCTGAAGGCTGCACGCGAGCTGATTTTCAGAGGCACTCACACTGCCCGGGTCCTGGCCACTGGTCTGGGGGGCTCTGCATTTTAATTTAATTTTAAATGAAGCTTCTTAAACATTTTAAAAACCTTATTTACTTGACATACAACAATAGTTTAGTTCTATATTATAGACTTATTGACAGAGACCTTCTAAAAACGTTAAAATGTATGTCGGGCACGCGAAACCTTAAATCAGAGTGAATAAATGAAGACTCGGCACACCACTTCTGAAAGGTTGCCGATCCCTGACTTAGATTTTAAAAGAAAGTTGAGAGGAGAGGGGAGAAAGCTTTTCCTGTTTTCTTGTATTCAATTTATCCTTTTCCTTTGACATTGACTTACTAAAAATAATACCATACAGTCATACTGTACAGCATCTTCTACAAAAGATCCAAAAGCACCCTCTAAAGGTATGATTAGCCTCTTTTTACAGCCGAGGCCCAAAAAACATAAGTGATTTGCCCGAAGTCACCTGGGAAGTCCACAGAGAATCAGGACTAGAACCAAAGTATCTGCACTCCCAGTTTCTTAGCCACTAAAACCATTTTGCCAAAGGGTAAAAGCAACACCAAACCACATAGGATCAGGTCCTTTGCTGGTGAAAATAAAACCAGCGTAGCTCCACGGAGGTCACCAGTTTACTTCACCTGGCCCACAGGTCCTACATAAATACTGCGTTTGTTTTTGTTTTTAAAATTAAGAGCAAAAGATACTGCAGACTTTAGTGGAGCCAGTTAACACAGAAGAATTACCGAGAGTGTCTATCTGTCCCCCAGAACAACTCATCTGGTTGTCTGAAACTGGATGAATAATTTACATGGGATAGAGAGACTACAAGACACAGATACGAGTACAGTAGAAATACCTAGACAGAGTCTTAAATACTAATGTGCAAGAGGCAGGCGGAGTGCTACCTCTGAATGGAAAGGAGACCAATTAGAGCAGACTGAAGATGTCTTTTTCCATCGGAAAAGGCCGTTTTATCGCAACTGAAATTCCCCAGGAACATGCTGATTTCAACCAAATTTTGCTTTTAAAACTATCAAAATGAAGCATTTCAATAATGCTGAAGTGTATTTTAAAATTAAAAAAAACACAAATACCAAAATGGAAACGAAACCGAAATTGAAAATTAAACAAAACACCAGTTGAGCTGAAGCAAAGTGTTCAAGAGTTTTGTTTCATGGAGATGTTGAAATTTTGGTTTTTCATTTTGATTCGGGACAAAATATTTTTCTGAAATGTTGGAATTTCCCATGGAACAAAAATTCCAGTTCCCAACGATCTCTAGTTGCAAGATCTTCTCGTTAGCTGATCCTCCTGTATTTGTGAAAGGCATTTTAATCATTATATGTTTCACCCCAGTCACAATCAAGGTAGTGTAATAACTAGGTACAAATATCTGGTTCTCTGTTGCTATCTGGCATGAGACCTGGTAGGCTTCAGAGGGTGAATGAACCTCTACCTTGCAGTCAGTCAGATTGCTTCTCCTTATCGCTTTGATTCATGTAGTCAGATCGCCCATGTGAATGAAGCTGGCTATGAACAAACACTGAACGTACCATGTGTCCAGCCTCCTGCAACAACGTCCTGGTTTCATGCACAGCCCGTCTCATGCAGGGAGGTAGCAGGAAATAGCCGTCTGTGTCGTAGTACCCGATCCGAAGGGGAGTGGAACTGGAGTACACCTGAAAGGAGACATATCTGCCCTTAACGTCTCTAGAACGGTGGGAATAATGGGATTAAACCACTATCAACCAGACTCTTCCCAGCTGGGACTAATGATGGGCAAACCTCCACCCTCAGCCCAACCCTATGAGGTCCTGATTCTGCTCCCTCCCATCTCCCAGCTCAAAGATTGTGCCCCCAGCCCTGTCCCCAGTGGCCTCTCTCTCCCAACAAGCCCTGTGGCTGTGATTCCATCATGGATGCTCAGCTCTGTTATTTGCTCCGTCTCCGAGGTTCTAGCCAACAGCCTCCTTCAAGCCCCACACATTCCAGGGCCTCCCCATGTCAGAGGGATCCCAGAGGGTGTCCTCCCACGCCCTGACCTCAAGGATACCAGGTAGTGGGATGTGAAGACGTCGGCCAGCTCAGCCAACATCGTCATGGCTTTTTAGACCACAATGTACATTTCAGCAAAAGAAGGAGCCTAACCACTGTGACCATCTAACGTTCAGTGACCTACCTCCTCGTTGAAGGGCAGGGGTGGCACGGTGGGGTCCAGGTAGAACATGTCGTCACACAGGAGCGCTCTCATGCAGAGAGCCAGGCTATCCACGTCCCTCGCCATTGGCCCGACCATTCCTGTAACTGGAGTAAAAGAACACACATGTAGCTAACCACTAAGCCAAATGTTTGTGCTTCACCCTAGGTAGCCAGATGTATCAAGGCCAGGTATGCTTGTAGCATACACAACAGTCTCCATATCTGTCTACAGTTGTGATAATAGAGGGATAAACTCTTTTATTCTGAAGATCTAGAATGAACTGTGTAGCTCATGGAATAAGAAACTCCATTTATTTCTAAGTTTGACCTCCTCATCTGCACTCTGCCCATATACCATCTCTGATGGAACCACACACACACACACACACACACACACACACACACACACACACAGCACTTCCTTTTTCCCCCCACCCCAAATGTGGATAAGGTCCAAGTTCAAGGTCCCAGAAGACAGAGCTATCAGTAGTTAGCCTGGCATGAATAAAGGGCTTTCTTCGGTCTAATAAGGGGCTGTCACAAAACATGTCTGCCTGAGTGAGGACTGGAGAAATTGACCCACTGAGCCCGTCCCAGAGCTGAGGCAGGTTGGACACAGCAAGAAATCCCTGGGTCGGGGGGCAGAAAAGAGAGTGTATGGGAAGAGAAAGCCCTTCTTGAAGGGCTACGGCGCATGGATGGGAAGAGAGACTATTCCTAGGGACAGCAGAAGTTTTGGTGGATCCGATTCCCAGTCACTATATCCCGCCTTTGGCTGAAACTTGCATTTAAATGAGCATTTCCCAAATTTCACATCCAACTGAGTGGCTCACCATCGAGGTAGGACAGTTTCCATTATAACTAGTATTTCTTTGTATTACAGTAGAACCCAGAGCCTCAAGCAGAGCTCGGCTTTGTACAAGACGGACTGTAAACTCTTTGGGGCAGGGACTAAGAAGGCACGAGACAAAGGAAGGGTTATTACCTCCACTTTACAGATGGGGAACTGGGACACAGGGAGGTGAAGTGTCCTGCCCAAAGTCACCCAGGGATGGAACCCAAAACACCTGTGTCCCAGTCTAGTTCCTCTCTGAGACCCTCACCGTGGTTAATATCTGTTGCCAGAGGTTCAGACCGAAAAGGTTGTTGAAGAAAAGGCTCACCTGTTTGGACGTAACTGACAGGGCCGCTAACTCCGAAGGGACCGTGGGAGATAGAAATAAACAAACACATAAATACCGTGGATAACAATAGGAGGCATTTGAAGGGGGCAGAGGGGACAGGCAAGGGAAGTAGATTTAAGATTGGTCAACAGATCAACTGCCAGGTTTAGTGAGTGATAAGGGAGAAACCCGCCCAGGTGGGGGATGAATCAGCTTGCGGCTGACCCCGCACCTACTGAAATCAAGGGAAAGGCTCCCATGGATTTCACTGCTCACTGGATCACCTTTCATGAGGAAAGGCCATTCCCCTTTCTGCACAATCTGGAAACAGACGGTGCCCCTCTCAGCGAGGTAACCACTGAGAACGGAAGGGGAGGAGCTCAGCACCAGCCCCTCCCCCTAATCTGCAAGGGTCCTATTCTCCACCACAGGATACACATCTGAGTCCCAAATGAAGCCACTGGCAGTTACTCATACCCTGCAGGGCGGAATTAAGCCCCAGGGAGTTTAAAACAAGACCTGTCCATGCAGGCCCCAATCCAAAGCTCATTGAGATCACTTGGAGTCCTCCCAATGATTTCAATGGCATTTGGACACAGCCTTTCAAGATCTGTGATGATACTCAGAGAAGGGGCTGGGGTTTCAATGGGCTTGGATTTGATTCACAAGGCTGGGGACCAGGCTGGCTTTGGGCAATGGGTTTTCACCCCCGGCGGCAGCGATTCAGGGTGGTGGGTACTTGGTCTCAGCACATGCTGTGCCACGCAAGCTCCTTGTTACCTGTGAGGGGCTCTGGAGAAATCAACAAACAATCAATCCTTTGTCAGTGCTGCAGAAACCGACGCGGCCCTTGGGCAGGCTCGGCACCTACCTTAGCCTGTTGCCCGTCGGCTTGAGCCCGCACAACCCGCAGAAGCTGGACGGCAGGCGGATGCTCCCACCTATATCTGTCCCAAAGCCCAGGACGGACCCTCCTCCGGCGATCAGCGCCCCCTCCCCTCCGGAGGAGCCGCCGGGG